GAGTTCATGTGCACGAGCAAATGGTTTAGAAGCGAGTAGCTAGTAGATGGCCTAGAAAAACGTCGTCAGCAAGGTGTCTGAAATGGCCATTTTACGCCTCACCTGACAACTAATAAAAAATCATGAGGCCAATGATCAGTTGAGGATTGAATCTGAAAGCTGTGAACACTATGCAATATAGTTAATGTTATATCTACTATCAGTGCGATAAAATATTAGAACATGAACCAAGAAGACTGAAAATTGAAATCATAGAAGCACCAGATGTAAGCCAGCCTATAGGGTTTTTTTGGACAAAGAGTTAAGCCTAGCAGCCAGATTAGCGCAGGGTAAACTCCTAAGGCGAAAGTTCATTTGTTTATACTTGCAGTTATAAGTTTGTCTCTTGAATTCATTCTTCAATGGAGTTGCATTCATCGAATGAATTGATTTGTTTTCACATCCGCCTCAATTGGACAGCCTTAAGGACGATGACGATGTTACTGCTTTAATGGCAGCAACAAAATGGGCTTTTGTGCTGCTCGGTAAGCGTAGAATTGCCGGGAGTGCAGTGTCCCCATATGTGGATGTGAGAGTTGGCTCTATGAGTCGAGGAGGTGAGGTAACCAACCAGAATCTTTCGATCACTGGTGCTTATATCTCGCGAGTACGATTTACCGATCATATACTCAATGCCACAATTTATGCTCATTGTAACATCATCTTCCTCTCTACATTCCTAAACGAACGGCTACTGCGTTGACTGAGGCATGTGCTAAGATGTCCGCAAGTTATATCATGTCACTACGCTGAATGTCAGCCTGATCCTTGGAAGACATCCGAATGGAGTTGAACAAGTCATAATCTGCTAGGACACTTACGAGGCTCATGATGAAGTCCTCCCTGGGCTTGCAGTGTAAGAAATTTTCTCAGCTGTTGAAATCTTTCTGCCTAGTCTGACTGTCATCACTCTGTCGTTCAGAACTTTGCTGATCTTCAGGTGTTTCGGCTTTAAACTGAACAAATCGTTTCTCATGGTAAATGTCGCCGTTTCAGTTTATCTGAGTAGATTCTCTGTTCATCAAGTTATAATCCCACGAACCATAACAGCAGAGATGGCAACCGTCAAGAGGGGCCGCTGAATTTTCTTCACGTCAGGGGACAAATAGGAGTCATGAAAGCATGACCTAGACGATTAATCAAAGTTTACTTGCTATTACTTTAGTGATTACATGAAACGGAAAATGCAAACGCATTCGAAACTTGCCTAATTGACGTTTCAACGTATGCTTACTGAAAATCACGTGATTATCCCCCCCCC